TTTTTATGATGGCCATGTGTGATGTTTCACTTTAATGTCTAATGGAAGATAGCCAGGGGAATGTATGTTTGGGTCTCAGGGTAGTTGGCAAAGGAAACATCTTCACACTTGTGTATTGGCTAAAATCTGCATTCTAATTAATGGAAGGAGTCTCTACTGCTTTAATTCTACTTGCATTGCCTAAGGGGATTCAGACATTCTTTGAACTTAACGATTTCCATTCTACTTAATAAAAGGTTCCTTTTGAAATAGTTTCAAGTCTTCACTTTCTTAAGCTAGGAGAGGAACTGTTTCTGAGGTGAAGAAGAGGGGCCAAGTATACATTTCTTTACAGACATATCTTTAGTCTCATATTGTGGAATTTCCTCCATTCTATCCAAGTGAGGAAATCCAAACATTATTTCAGAAGGCAGACGATTTTGCATTCCATGGAACATGACATTCCCACTGCCTATGATTGAAGTACTTTTGCAGTAAAATGCGTAAGTTTCACATATTTGTCAGAATTCACAGCATCCAGAAATTTTCAGAAACAAATCACATCATACCTTAGACCACCCCATGACTCCCCTGATGTCTAAAATCAACATTAGCTGTTTATCAGGTTTACCCATTTATCTCCCCACTTTCTACTTGTCACAATGGCTCAAACTCCTTCTCTTACTTTTATGACAAAGTTCATAGTATTAAAATTACTTTAGATATATAATCTAACTAAGTTGTAAAACTCAGTCATATACCCTAACATAGATTTGCATCAGACAGATTCTTTTCTGGCAGTGTTTATATTTTGTTATTCCTGATTGGCTATTAACAGCACAAAAGGTGTAAGGATTGTTCTGGTAGTTTGAGTTAGGGTTAGAGTTAGGCTGCCAATTTCTGGAGGAAACAGGGATGGCATTTATAGAAGAAGGAAAAGGACCCATAAAGGATCCAGATCCCAATGCAGGAATGATACAACTGACCGCAGGCACATGCTTTCACAGAGGCACATGTGCCACAAATGCCCAACAACCAAATGCTTAAATGCAGCACAACACATATACATATTACAATAGAACAAATGTCTATTAAATAACAAGTTTCTACTTAATGTGATAATACTCATTATTATTATTTTTTTATTACCGTTCCCTTCATTTTTCTTCCTGTTTCTCAAAGGATAGAATTCTTTCTATCATGATGAATGAGGGGTGCATATTTAGTAGGGATAGTTTGGAGGACCATGATATTTGCAGACTTATTATGAGGAATGGCAGGCACAGAGGCTGCAATGACTGCATCCCAGAGGACTTTCTACATATTGTTATTTCGAACTCATCTCTGTAATAATTCCAAAAAGTACAACAACGTGTGTTGATAACAAACAAATAGACAAACAAACAAAATACCATAGGACAGGGCACCTTGACTCATAAGCATTTAAAAATGCAATCAGGCATAAAAGAGGGAGGAAAGAACAACTTCAAAAAATAAAACAAACAATCCAAAAAGAGGCATTTTGAGTCAACATTCCAAAATATCACATTCCATTCATATGGAAGCAAATTCCCCAAAGGCAACTATCAGAGACAAACAAACAAACAAACAAACAGTGACATAGGATGGAGCATTTTGACTCCAACATCAAAGAGATAGGTAGGAAGAACAGCTTCAAAATAAAACAAACTTAATGAGGTCAAATTCAGGTTCCATTCAGATGGAAGCAAATTTTCATTAAGTATGTTAAAACATTTACAAATGTAAGCAAAAGATCTCAAAATCATTTCTTTTTATAGATTTAATTAAGCATTTTAAACCTCAAAAAGTTTCAGAAGAAAAATCAAAATTGTATTCAGAGCAGAAAAGGAAATATAACTGCATAGCTTTTATATGCAGATGAAAAAGGTCAAAACAGTGAAATGTAAAGGTACATGAGCAGGTCACCCACTTGCCCTGAATTTCTCAGAAGAGAGAAAAAATGGTTAAAATGAGCAGGAAAAACTGCAGCCCCCCCCCTTAATGACACAAAAGAAGGGGGGAGAAGGGGGGAATACACAGAGGCATTCACAGGTCTTGCTCAGGCATCGCATACACAAACTCATGGTTAAAATGAGTAGGCAACTTTTTCACAAGCCAATGAGCTCTATTTTGTATTATTAGAGGATCTCAACCTCCCTTCAGGTTTGGAAATGATAACACACATACACACACATACCATTTTTTTTCATAAAAACTTTTTATTTTCCATTTTCATAACATATAATCACATGTATAATATTACATAGCCAATATCATGTTGTGTTATTAAATAATTACATCAATTCATCTTGCCATCAACTCCCAAAGAAAAATAAAAAGAAAAACCAGTTATTGGCTCTTCTGCTCGGTTCCACCACAAAACCGCGGAGGACAAAATCGCGCTCGACGAAAGCGTGCATTTGACGTCATCACAGCGCGANGCCACTCCCATCTGGTCACATGGGCAGCAAGCCACTCCCACAAAGGAGGCCACACCCACAGAGTAGGTTCGAACAATTTTTGAAACCCACCCCTGCTGCCAGCATTACTGTCAGTTTGGTGTGCGCATGTGCACAGTTGTCCATAAATGGTTCTGCGCATGTCGCGCCAACCAGGGAACAGGTTTTGAGGCATGGCAGGCCGGCAAACCACTACCAGTTCAACCAAATCTGTCTGAACCGGTAGTAACCCACCAATGATACCTAGAGAGAGAGAGAAGGAGAGAAAGAGAGAGGGATGGAGGGATGGAGCCATATACCATGAGGCAGGAGAACTGTGTGCCTCACCTAGTCTGAATTTTAGGCGTTTTAGGATCGCTCAGCATGAGCAGAGTTAAGCAGAGGCTTAAAAACTTAAAAAGTCAGGCTACGTGAGGCATGCAGTTCTCTTGCCTCATAGTAGAGGGCTCTCGTTCTTCCTGTGACTCAATAGCAGAAGAGAAAGCCTTTTCAATGAAAGCATTTTGGGCTGCAGGATCCCCTCCCCAATTCCAAAAAGGGCACATGCAGAGGCCAAACAAGTGCATTGTGTTTCAGGTGGCAGGCAGTTCCAGCAAGTGCTGCCACCTGAAAATGTTTTCCTTCCCAGTTCCCTGGTGCACATCGCAGAGCCACGCACTCTCCTCCTCCTCCTCTATGGACTTGCTGCCTGCCCTGGCAGCTGCTTCTTAGCACCCACTCCCTTAAGTGTCACTGCCAGCGACCATGGTTTCATGCCCCCTATCCTGGATAACAGCCCACAGGAAGGGAGAGACAGCATGCCGGGTGAAGTTTCACCACCCCCGCTCCAACGAGCGAGGGGAGGGGAGAGTCCCAGCAGCACCCAGGGCACTGGCAGGGGTGCTGGGCACCCCATCTCCTGCCCCACCTGCCACCCCCAAATTGTGCCCCACCACGAATGAGGTGCCCGGCATCCCTGCCAGTGGTGAAGAAGTGTTCTGGTTGCTGCTGGACTCTCCCATCGCTTGTTGGGGCCAGGGTGGTGAAACTTCGCCCAGTGCGCTGCCTCTTCTCTCCTGTCGGCTATTATGACCAAAAACTCTTTCATTGAAAAGGCTTTCATCGCAGTTCCCCAGGAAGCTTCAGGAATAAGGCTCCAACTAAGGCAGCAAAAATGTTAGCCAGATGAATATTGATGGATAATGCTGGGAAAGAGGCAGAAAGGTTTTCTTCCTGATTTCCTCCCCCAAAATTAAGGTGCATCTTATACTCCGGTGCATCTTATACTCTGAAAAATACGGTAAGTGATGACAGCCACAGAGCACAACTCAGTGCCTCATCAGCCATAAACCTCACCGCATGTCACTGGGATGGAGGGAGGGAGGGAGAAAAAGAGGAGATAGAAATAAAATTATATCCTTTTATCTTCTTTTGGTGGAATTGTTAACAAATGCTCATTTGAAAATCCTCATGGTATTAGATGCTGTCCCAAGAAGGTACTTCTTGAAATTTGAAAGGACAGAATATTAAAGAAATATTTATTTTTGGTTTTCTCAGATACTGAAAAATGTACCAGGTGTCCAGATGAAAAATATCCAAATGAAAACCGAGTTCAATGTATCCCCAAAGTTATAACTTTCCTTTCTTATGAAGAACATCTGGGCATCATCTTGGTCTCCTTTGCCTTGTTTTTCTTCCTAACCACAGGTCTTATTTTAAAGATATTCCTTAAATACCATGAAACTCCCATTGTCAAAGCAAACAACCAAGACCTCTCCTACATCCTCTTGGTCTCCCTCTTGCTTTGCTTCTTGTCTCCTTTCCTTTTCATTGGTCAACCAAGGAAAGCCACCTGCCTTCTCCGACAAATGGTTTTCAGCATCAGCTTCTCAATGGCCATTTCTTCAGTTTTGGCCAAAACAATTNATTGAAATATAAAGGTAAATAGAAGGATAAAAATATATTAAACATGATAACAAATGTTAAATATAATGACACAAAAATTGTACTCAGATAACCTGCTGTTTGATGAATGATGTAAGATTTGTTATGAAAAAATAAAAACTCTATACAAAGAAAAGAATTCATCAATATTAATGGTTCCTAAACTCCATAGCTCTGGGTGACCTTCTTCAGCAGACTCTGGGGAGAAAAGACCATGATGAAGGACAGCAGAAGTCATTATCTTGGTGTGGAATTATCCATCATCACGTTCTGCACATGTCCTGACAGGAGGGACCAAAACCATTACAGAAGTGTTCCTTGGGGACATTTCACTCTATATTTTTTCTCCAGCTGCCCCTTTGTACACTGAACCCTGAAAGAACAGCAGCATTCCAGGAGAAGAAGTTGCTTCTCAGGGTAATTATTACTTTCTCAACATTGCAATTTGTTCCCCTATTTCACCAAGGACTGCTTTTGATATAAACATCAGACCGAAGCAACACGGAAGAGATCTTATATCAGAAAAAGATAAATGCATTAAGCCATACTCTCTGTGCCACTTTTTTTATGAGACAGGCAGTGTCTATGCTCTTGAATATATCTTTCTTCCCTTTCCAGTTGAAGCTTGATTGGTTGATACCAGAATCAGAAATCCACTATCATTTCCATCTTGTGAGAGTGCTTTGGATTTTTCTAACTCTCCTTGTTGACCTTGTTTAAAAGGGATTGATTCAGCCCTGTCAATTATGGACCTCCTGCTTCTGCTTCTGCTGCTTCTGATGTTCCAGCCAGTCTCTGGGAAGCTTAGAAACAAGTGCCAGCTGAATTTGGAGAACCAGGACGAGAAAAAACCATGGAGCTACTACAGGCCAGGAGACCATCTTATTAGTATGATCATCAGTGTGACAAGAAAATTGCCTACGACTTTGTCCTTCAGCATGGCTCCTTCTAGACAATCTCAGTTGTAAGTCATTCAGGGTGATGCACTTGCATTCCATCCATTTGCAGTTCTAACACTCTACTCTTCTGCTTTCTTTTTAATTCATTTCTATGTTGCAGGGGTATTTCTAATTTTTGAATTGTTTTCAGCTGTGGCTTTCCTTTTTTGTCTTATTTTGCGTAAGAGACTCAAATCCAAACAAATAAACAAAAACCCCTGAAAAAAGTCTAGTTTTTTGTTGTTCTTGCTCAATGCTGAGTTCATCACTTGCATCTTAACTTCTGCTTAAAGGTCATTTATCAAATATTCTCTTCCTCTTATGATAGTTCTCCTTGAATAATTGAATTATTTTACAAGCCAGTTACGGGAATTATGAAAATTAGTACTGCTACTAATAATAGCATATTGCTGATTCTAAAAAATGGTGAAGGACTAGCTCTATCCCATCTTCCCAACACTCATGAAAACTCCATGGTGATGGGTGACTATCATCTTGCTTTAGATCAATATTGAATTAAGACTTTGGAGACAAAAATACAATAAAATAAGCATTTTGTTGGTGACATTGATGAGCATGGTAAAAAATTATATTACTTTACAGTACTTTACCTTTTGATGCCAAGAAGTCAAGAATCATATGCTTCATTTTCGCCATTCAAGAGATCAATAAGAAATCCCAGCTCCTTCACAATCTCACATTTGGCTACAATATCAATGACAACTCTTTGAGCACCATTCGCACTTCAGATGCCTTGCTAGACATGCTCTCGACTGGAGAAGCCAATGTTCCCAACTACAGCTGTGGAAAGAAAGATAACCTTATAGCTCTTCTTGATGCAGCTGATAGTGATGTCTCCATCCAGATGTCAACATTAGTAGCNCTTTCATCATGCTTGCCTTTGGTTATCACTGGTGCTTCTGCCAAAAATGCTCTCATTGTTTCTGCCCAATTTTTTCCCCTTTCTTCATCTATATTTTTAAGTATGAGATAGAGTTCCAGTTCTTCTACCTCTCCTTTCAGTATTCCAGACGTATCATTTCCCTCCACTCTCGGTTTACTGTCAGTAAAGGTTCCCCTCGCATTCAAAGCCAAAGAGCCAACTCTGTCCGAAGACGTCTCCGTGGTCTTTTGGATGGCATGAGAAAATGCCGAAGGCACATGGAGCACTGTTACTTTCCCACCAAAGGTGGTCCCTATTTTTCTACTTGCATTTTTACATGCATTCAAACTTCTAGGTTGGCAGAAGCTGGGACCAGTAACAGAAGCTCACTCCCTTATTTGGCACTAGGGATTCGAACTGATGAACTGCCAACCTTTCTGATCGACAAGCTCAGCATCTTAACCACTGGGCCACCCTTTCTTTCATAATTTCCACAGAGATCATGAATTCCTGAGCCATCCCAGATTCAATACCAGGGTGTAGTAAATTCCTAAATACCAGAATCTCAGAGGACCAAGAATTGCCAATCTTCCAACCAAGCAGTAGCTTAAATAGGGATGGTGCTGAGCAGCAAGGAGGGCTGCACACCAGAAGCAATCAGTTTCCTTAAATCACCAGAAGGCCTTCCTTCCAATGATCTGAAAAGCAGAGCTCCTGAAAGCTGTAAAAACAAATGACAGATGACAACAGACTCTCTTCCTGTTCTTTCCTGAAATCTCAATTTGTGTGGAGGGGAAAACCCACAAATTGGGGTGGCTACATTTCCAAGCAAGGGAAATTTTCCCCTCTGGTCACAACCAGGTGTGGTGGGAATGAGAACAACTTCAGTAGCAATAGCACTTAGACTTATATACTGCTTCACATTCTTTACAGCCCTCTCTAAGCAGTTTACAGAGTTAGCATATTGCCCCTAACAATCTGGCTCATCGTTTTACTTACCTCAGAAGGATGGAAGGCTGAGTCAACCCTGAGCCAGTAAGACTTGAACTGCCAAACTGCTGGCAGTCGGCAGTCAGCAGAATGTGCATGCTTTAACTGCTTAAAGTGGATATTGAATTGGTTATTGTCTAGTCTAGTGAAAAGGTGAACTGGGATTACATGATAACAGTCTTCAAATATTTGAAGGGCTGCCACAAAAAAGGGGGGATCAATGTATTCCCCAAAGCACCTGAAGGCAAGATAAGAAATAAAGAATGGTATAGGGTCTAGATAGAGAGATGCTCCCTGATTTATTCAGCTAGAGAGAGGTTCCCTGAAAATGGGCTCCAACACAAGTCTGAAAGCTTGGAAGACAAAACCTCTGATCCCAGTGACTGACTTGATTGGATCCTGCAACATTATCCTGGGACAGGTATATTCACCTTCCTTCAGCAGACCTCATAAAGGTGCCTTTTCAGGAGGCAAATGGACTTTCTTATTTTTTCTTTGAAAACTGTTTGCTTCTCATCCAAGAAGATTCTTCAGCTCTGATAGGATGGTGGGGAATGGAAGGATCCTGTCAGAGCTGAAGAACCTTCTTCGATGAGAAGCAAAACGTTTTGGGGGAAAAAAAACACAAGGAAGTCCAGTTGCCGCCTGAAAAAAAACACCTATGGGACAACCACGACTTGGATGGCTGAGAATCTCTACAGTCCACAATCCACTGTTTATTTAATACAGGAGGAAATTTCAAAATATAAAAGTTTTCTCTGTGTTATAGCAATAAGGAAAGAAAACACAGTGATGCCCCCCCCCNTATGAAGCAGTATATAAGTCTAAGTGCTATTGCTATCGAAGACAACTTGTGTCAAATGAAACAGGGTCATCAGACAGCTTTCTGATTAAGCAGAAAGGGTGAAATAATGGATATTGCCTGCCTCACTGCCATAAAGTGGGCCTTACCAGTACCTCTAACCTGTGTTTGAAAGCATTTGTCCTCTGTTGAGCAGTAGCAATGCTCCAACTTCTTATTTAATATTTCATTTCCCTCAACTCCTCCACGATGGATGGAGAGTGATGGGATTTCAAGAAGGGAGATGCAACGACTGCCATCCCAAAAGGCTTGTGTTGCAAACAAACAAACAAATAAAATATCAGTGGGGCACCTTGACTCATAAGCATTTAAAAATGCACTCAGGTGTAAAGGAGGGAGGGAAGAAGAACAGCTTCAAAAAATAAAACAAGCAATTCAAAAAGAGGCACTTTGAGTCAACACTCCAAAATATCAGATTCCATTCAAATGGAAGAAAATTCTCCAAAAGGCAGCTGTCAGAGACAAAGAAACAAACAAACAAACAGTGACATAGGATGGAGCACTTTGACTCCAACATCAAAGAGGGAGGGAGGAAGAACAGCTTCAAAAATAACAAGCTAAACGGCTTCAAAATAAAACAAACTTAATGAGGTATGTTAAGTCAAAAGAGTGAATATAAATGTGCACGAGCAGGTCACCCAATTATCCCGAAGTGCTACATTATCATTCTGAGGCCGGACCTCAATACAAAGGAACAACTTATGTCCAAAAGAAATGTAGTAATGTGAGACAGAAGTAAACTCCACTGTCAATATGTTCTAATAGTCCAACAATAGAAAGTGGTCCAAGATGTTCTCCACCCATGAGCTGATCCAATGATTTTGGTGTCACCTGATCCCTCTCAAGCAGCCAAAGCATCATATCTGTTCTCTGCCCTTATTTTTTTGCAGCCTTTAATGCCTCGCAATGCAATTGCAATATTTTTTTAATGTTGTTTTTATTTTTTAAACAAACATAAACAGACAAGACATGTAACATAAAAAAAAATCTTCCATTCTGTACAGTGTGTCGATTGGTTACAAGGTTTTGTGCATCATTTCCATAGTCATCTCTTAGGTTTAATATAAAGTAACATATTGTCATTCAAGCATATTTGTATACATTATTATTATAGTACTTCCTTTGTTTGACTGTCACTATTATTTCTTCATTTGAAATGAGGTATTCTAAATATGGGTTCATTTTTATTATAATAGTTCATTACTTCATCTTCAACATGTCCAATAATAAGTATTTTTTTTTGCATATCCTATTTTAAATCATTCTATTGTTTTGGTATTGGTAACATTCTCTAATAAATTTTCAATACCATTTTTTTAAAATCTAACCACTAATTAGATAGATCCCATATCCTATAAAATTGTTTATTTTCTTATTCTCTAATTTCATATGTCAATTTACACATTTCAGCACATTCCATTGCTAATATCATTAATCTATGTATATGCATACAATTATTATGATTATTAAACATTCATTGAATATAACTATTATTACATCCTTTTCATGTGAAGCATACTAAATTTAAAATAAATTTATATTATGACATTTCATTACATCATCCTGGACTCATCCAATAGTGTTACATCTTTGTATTATATTCTGTATAGAATTGTTTACCTTTTATTTAAAAAAAAGCTTTTCCACATCATCTCCATAATCCTCATTTACAGCTTATATAAAGTTACATATATCAATCTAGTATATATAAATGCATTATTATCATTATTAATCATTTATTTGACTATAACTATTATTACATCCTTTTTATGTGAAGCATACTAAATTTAAAGTACATTTCT